TTTTCCCAGTTAACATTTATTTTATTTCAAGTACTGTTATTTTAGGATCATTGATATGCAATTATAGTTTTTTGTTAATATTTTGAATTTTATTTTAGTTTTATCATTTATTTTTTCACTTTAATTTTGGTTAAAATTTGAGTAAAGTTTTAGTTTTATGAATTTAATTTAATTTAATTTAATTTTGCACTTATTTTGTTTCAAGCAGTGTTGTTTTAGTATCATTCATATACTAGTTTTCGTTAATATTTTGAATTCAAATTTATTTGATATTTTCTGTTTTCCCTTTCATTTTGGTTCAAGTTTAACCAAAGTGTTAAAGTGTTTTTGTAATTGTTATATGTATATAGTTGTCATTATTTTTTATTTATTAGTTTTAGTTTAGTTCGACAAGTTAAACTAAATGAAAATTAGAAATTAGCATTCACAACAAGCTCAAATAAAATACGTTTGCGTATTTAACATTTTATTTCAGTTAGCGTTTATTTAATTAAAACATTTTTTTTTATGGTTTTAGAGCTCTCTTACCTGTGCATGTGACGTCCTGTAGACTGAAGCCCAGGTCACACACACACCTGAAGCTGCCGGGAGTGTTCATGCATTGGCCATTAGTGCAGCGCATGGGGTTTTGACTGCATTCATCTATATCTGAAAACACACAGGAGACACAGCGCACATTCAAAACCCGTTAATATACCACACTCCCATACACAACAGTCTCTGTGAAATAACACACAGTAACAAAAAAAGAGTCAATTTGAAACATTTTGCACATTCAAGATTTTTAACATCAGATTTGCTAGAATGTAGAAACTGTAACACCGAACCATGCATTTAAGCTGCTTTGAATGGATATGAATTCACTATATAAATGTGACTCGTCTTCTGGAGAGAAGGCATGTGGTTAGAAAGTTAGAAAAGTGTCTGAAATCACTTACAGAAACACCAACCATAAACATCAATGTAATATCTCATAATTCTCTATTATGCGCCTGTGTGGTCATTTTGGTATATTGTAAAGCACTGTGGTCAACTTCAAATGTGCTACAGACATAAATGTTGATTGATTGATTAAAAATTGTGACTTTGTGTCCCATAATTGCATTAAAAACTACATAAATATCCACTTTCCTTTATTGTTTTCATATCAAATCAATGTTATTTGTTAAGGAAAGTGATACCTTGGCATTGGCCGTCAAGAAGCTCAAAGCCCGGCTGACAGGAGACACACTTGAAGGAGCCGACCGAGTTCACACACTCTTTTCCTGGACACTGAAGCTCATTTTCACACTCGTTCACATCTGGAACAGGATTAGAAACAGACCAGAACATCCATACAGTAGTTCATGAATGGAACACATTTGTGGGTGAAGTTGGCAATGACCGCTTGTGAAAAAGAAGTGTGCTTAATTGTATTGTATGTGCACTTTAGTGTACTACACGTCTTAAGTATATACTTAAAAACTGTACTTGCAGATAATATGATATTAATTAAATAAAAGGCCACTTAAGTGACTTTCATGACTATGTTTCTAAACACACTTAAGTAGACTTAAATGCACTTGTAATAATGTCAGTTTTTAATATAAGGTCATTTTAAATAATTGTTTAAATATTTTGTCGTGCTTTGCAGAAGTACACCTATGTTGATGCGTTGAGCACATGTAAAGTACTTGATTATCATTTTAACGGAAGAACGTTAAATGTTCTAAATTACAAATGTGTAATTACAACTATATTTAAAAACATGACATACAAGTTTCAATAGAAATGACATTTAAGTATATTAAAGGAGTCATGTGATGCGATTTCAAGTTTTCCTTTCTCTTTGGAGTGTAACAAGCTGTTCGTGAATAGGTAAGATCCCTGAAGTTGCAAA